GAGAGGTTTTGAAAAGGAGGGTATTGCCGTTACTAGCAAAAAATTATAGTAGAAAAATGAAAAAAATTGTTGCGGTAAGTGGGTAAACAAAAAAAAATTCTGTTTAAAAAAATTGTAGAAGTTTGCTATAAAAAAATGTTTCGATCCATAAAGTCGTATACATTTCTTACCGGTACCACAGCTGGACCTTACCAGTACGATGAGTATGGGGTGAAACATAGTTAAATTTTAGCAGATTTTAAAATTATTTATGAGGTGCAGTGCGTAGGGGTTGAATATAAATGAAATTTTTCAGTGGCCTTATTCACACAGACATGCATGTGCTGTCGGTACATTAGCATTGCCAGCTTCTTCACATGTATTAGTTTCAGTAGTCTTTCTCCCTCGTTCCCATTTATTGCTCAAGCTGTAATTGTAACTCTTCCCTCTCCTCCCCTCTCCCGCCCCGCTTCTCCCCGCTCCGTCCCTTCCTCCACCTTCCAAAAATCACTCAGAAAGCGGCTACCTGGACACACCGAGGGGAATAGTGTATTATAAGTGATGGTGGTGACGACTAGCATCATTGAGTGACAGGAAGTTCGATTGCCTCTCAATAATATTGAAGGTCATGGGTCAGTGGTCATCCAGGTGGACATACCATAGGTCAGCAGTCATCCAGGCTTCCTGGAAGACGTAAGGATACCGAGGTCTTTGTCCCAATGATAACTAGATCTTCATGCCACCATTCTGGGCAATCTCGATGATTTTTCGAGCAAATGGATTTTAAATTCACGACATGCAATTAGTTTTCTATAATTAAAATTCTTGCAACGTTTTCCAGGTGTGCTATGGTTCTGGACAGGCGCCGTGTCCTTGAAACATCGCTGTTTGATTCGGAACAAATTGTAACGGTACAATATTTGAGCAGACATGCCGATATACCCGTTGATGATGCACGAGAGTATGCCTTTTTTGATTTCTTAGTATTTTTTGTGTTAGGTTGCGCTGTTTCCCCAGCGGCACAGATAGCAGTGCTAAAACTGAAGAAAACTCTCTTCCGAAAACTCTCCGTACCCCGTCGCCTCCTTCCTCCTCTAGAACCCTTTCTTTCCCCTCCCTTCCTCCAGTCGTCGGCACACTATTAGGGCTATTTCCTTCCATCCCTCCTCCTGACCACGTCCCAGGAAGCCATCCTGGATCCGCCTATAGTTAATTGACCTATGGTTAATTGATACTAGAAAATAGAATAACTACCACAAACTAGTGTAAAAAAAAACGTGAAGACTAAGATAAGATAAACTAACACTTGTATAAATCTTAACTCAACACCACAACTGTATTTTATCAGTTTCAATAGTTATGCAGGAAGAGACCAAAACACAGACAACATGAGTCCAAATGTTAGGTTACAGTGTCGGAATCATTCCTGCTATTAACGATCTGCAAGTTTCGCGCAAAAATGCACCATCACACCGGCAAGCTTGGTGCGTTGCATCCTGGGTTATATACTTGTTTGTTTTCAGTGAGCTGAAAGAATTTTTTGCGGAAAATCAGCATCGCACGAAATTGTATGCAGTATATCTCCTTAGTGGTGAGCTTACTTGTCAAAGTGATGGCAGTGGTAATGATGAGGATTATCCATCTCTGCCCAGCAGACAATTTCGAACGCAGCTTGTTCGGGATTGTGACCTTGAAAATGCTCGAAGAGCGTACCGTGAAACGGAAACATGCGAGATTTATTGCTTACATACAAAACCTATAAAGGTAAATTTTGCAATGTTTTGTTAATGGTTAATTCGTCAATGCCTTCTCAAGTTAAAGATTGATTTTTGAATAATTCTGTGAGTGATCGATGGATCGAAGGAATCTTATGTCAGC